GTCCAGCGGCCCCCCCCTCCCCACCTCAGCCATGCCCCCCCCAATTTAACTCCCCCACATTGCAAGCCACCAAAAAAAGTTCCCCCACATGCCTGTTTTTGGGCTCCAGCACTCCAAAAGATGAGAAAAGGAACTGTGTATTTTATTTTGTTTTTATAAAAAGAAGAAGAAAGAAAATTAAATTAATTATATTATTTAAAGGAGTGGAATATAAGAAGAAAGACTATTTTTTGTCTCCTGCTACGCATTTTAAAGCTAGTTTTAAAAGTAAGAAAGCCAAAGCGGGGAGGGGGGAGTGAGATTCACCTCTATTTTCTGGTGCTTTTTGAAATGGTTTTTTTTTCAAGTTTTTTTCCTCTTGGCCGCCTGCAAATGAAAAGGTCTCCTTTTTTTTGAGGGGGGGTGCCCTATAAACCCCTCTTGCTTTTTTGTTTTCTAAAGAGCAACCAGGGTACCCCCCCTCCCGGTGCTGAAAAGCAGGCGATCCTTGTAATGTTTTGTAAAGTAAATGTGGAAAAATTGTATTGTGTAATAGATAATCTATAATTTTGCTGCTTTCTGTGTGTCTGTTTATTTTTGATTTCTCTGCTTGCCCGCCTGGAACCTTCGTAGGAAGCCTTTTCTGGCTTTTTAAAACGTGTCTCAAAACCACCGTTTGGGGGGGGTGTCTTTTGTAAAGTTTACGGCTCTCCATTGTCTCTTCCAGAGGGACAGCCTGGATAAATAATAAATCTGCTTGTGGGGGGGAGAAGCCATTTCAATTCCCGCTGCTAAGAGGACCGTTGCAGAACTGAAAGGAAGCCAAGGAGGCCGGGAGGTGGGATGGTATTGGTGCTAAACCCAGGATACCACAAACTGTCCCAGAAGCCTTCACTTCACCCTCAGCTGTGCTGGCCAGGACTCCTGGGATTTGTAGTCCGATAACATCTGGGGACCCCAGGTTGGGAAGCACTGGCTTAGACCAGTAGATTTTCGTTTTCTGGGGTGGTTCCATGCCATCAAGTCACCTCTGAAGGATCGCACCCCTATGAACGAGTGACCACCAGAATGTCGCGTCTTCCAATGGCCCTGCTCCGCGCTCGTGCACACTCAAGCCTGTGGCTTCCTTGATGAGCTCAGTCCCTCTCGTGTTTTGGGTCTTCCTCTCATCCTGCGGCCAGCAGCTTTTCCTGGCGTTCTTGACTTTTCCAGCGAGCCTCTGCCTGCTCACGGTGCGCACAAGGCAGGACGGCCCAAGCACAAGGTTTTAGTACTGATGCACACCCCAGTGTGGAAAAAAAGGGGGGGAGATCGTCCCACCCTCCCCCCTCTCTCCATTGCAGACACGAGACCAGGGAGCCAACGCTGGACCCTGGGGGGGAAAACTGCCTGAGCCACAAGCTGGATGCAGACCCCCCTCCACTCACCCTGTGTGTTTGTTGCATCATCATCATCATCACCACCACCACCACACAACACCACGGGGAGCACTGCCATGGTTAAAGGCTTTATTTGATGCGCTCAGTCCCTCTCGTGTTTTGGGTCTTCCTCTCATCCTGCGGCCTGCAGCTTTTCCTGGCGTTCTTGACTTTTCCAGCGAGTCTCTGCCTGCTCACGGCAGGACGGCCCGAGCACAAGGTTTTAGTACTGATGCACACCCCAGTGTGGAAAAAAAGGGGGGGAGATCGTCCCACCCTCCCCCCTCTCTCCATTGCAGACACGAGACCAGGGAGCCAACGCTGGACCCTGGGGGGGAAAACTGCCTGAGCCACAAGCTGGATGCAGACCCCCCTCCACTCACCCTGTGTGTTTGTTGCATCATCATCAACATCATCATCATCATCACCACCACACAACACCACTGGCAGCACTGCCATGGTTAAAGGCTTTATTACCACCATAAAAATGCAACAGCTGAGACAGTGAAATATAAAGGCTTTTCTCTGTGCTCTGGCCTTGGCGTCCTGCTTTTCCCTTCCCTGAGGAATCTGGGAAGGACGGACGGACGGACGGACGGGGCCCCCCCGGAATCCTTCCTCCTCCTCCTCTTCCTCCTCCTCCACAGCAGCCGCCCCCCCTCCCTTCAGAAGTTGGGCTTGTGTTTCTTCACCTCGACCATCAGATGGTGGATGTTGATGAGCTCCGAGCGGACGGGCAGGGCCTTGAGGGGGGGCAGGGCCAGGACCTTGTGGAAGCGGTGGTAGTACTGGATCAGCTGCGTCAGCGCCCCCTGCCAAGGGGAGGGGAAGAAGAAAGGAAAGCCCGCTTGTTAGACCCAGACTGGCACACACCACCAAAAGGGGGTTAAGGGAGAGCCTGGGGGGGGCGGTCCCTAAGAGGCCAGGATCCCAGCAAGACCCTCCAGCTCCCCACGGACTGGGGAGCCGCCTTCCCCACTGGACCCCTGGAGACCCACGCTGCATTTCAAGGCTGGGAGGATAGCAGGGGCTGGGGGACAGAACACCCCATTGCCAGTTCTGGCCATGCCAGCTAGCAGAGGCTGGACCCCCCCCCAAGCTGGCTGCCTAGAGGACCCGGGGAGGGGCAGAAAAGTGGTGATGCAGAGGAACACGTGTGTGTGTGAGAGAGAGAGAGAATGGTAAAAAGGGTCCGTTGCCCCCCATCCCCACCTTCCTTCCTCGCTTCCTGAAGCTGCAAGGCCTAGGGGGCTGGGACGCCCAATGAACACCCCACCCCCAACATCCCCAGCCAGTGGAGACCATGGGGGGGGGAAAACGGGTGCTGGGAGGGGCAGCCCCACAGTGTCCAGAGAGCCACTCCTTGGCCTGCTTCTGCCCCACAGAGCCTGGAGAGATAAAGCTACCCAGTCCTTTAAATGCACAACTTATTAGTTAGCAGCCGGGAGAGAACAGCCGGGTGGAACGACTGGGGATTATGAGGGATGATGGGGGTTGTAGTCTGAAACGCCTGGGGAGGGAGGGAGGGGGAGCAGAACATGGGGAGACCTGGCTCAGAGGAGAAGAAGCAAACATGGCCAGGGTCAAAGTCCTGCCCCTCCCCACCCTCTCAGCCCCACCTTGCCTGGCCACTTAACTCACTCCACGGACTCCCCATGTGGCTGCTGCAAGGGCCAGGTTCAGAACATCAGACTACTCTCTCTCTTTCTCTCTCTCTCACTCACACACATACACACACACACACAACCTTAGGTCCCCCCCTCTCCCCCCCCCGGCTGGTGTGACCCACCTGGATGATGGTGGTCCCGTTTTTGAAGTTGGTGAAAGAGCGCATCACGTCCTGGCTCAGGGACTCCACGGCCGACTTCCACGTCCCGGCGAAGCCACGCACCAGCTGCGTCACCCGAGCTGTGGGGGGGGAGGCGGGCACAGGGAGAGGGAGAGGAAGAGAGAGCCACCAGAGAGAGGCTGGGTGGACATCTCTAGAGCGGGGGCTGAAAGCCACCCCCCCTGCTCCCCACATTCAAGAGAAACTTCCTCCGCCCCCCCATGGGGAAGGAGGGACTCACCTTCCTCCCCGCGCAGTCGCTCCAGCTGGCCCCGCTCCGCCAGCGCCTCCGCCTCCTTCACAAAGGCGATCATGCCCCCAAAGCCCGGGGCCAGAATCTCCTCGATAAACTCCTAGGAGAGGCAGTAGCATCGGCGGGAAAAGAGCACCCCATCAAGGCCCAGAGGCTGTGCCTCTCTGACCCTATGATTTTGGCAAATCCCCCCCCCCCCCCGTCCTGCTCTGCCTTCATTGGAAATTTCTAGTCCTCAGGAACAACGGAGGAGCCTTCCCGAACTCTTGTGGGAAGGCAGGGGCTGAACCACTGTGGGTTTTTTTTTCTCTCTCTCTCCCTCTTAGCATGTCCTGAAGCCTCTCCCATCCAGCCCCACGTTAGGGAACACTTCTGCTCCCACCTTGGAAGAGCAGCCCTTTCTTGGAGAAGAGGGATCTCTGCTCATGAGTAGCACAGAAAGGGGGGGCAGGATAGGGCCCCTGCCACCCGCCTCCACCGCCGACTCACTTACCTGCGTCCGAGCGTTGAGCAGCTGCTGGAACCCCTCCACCTCTTTGCTCTCTTCCACCGCTCGCTCCTGGCAAAGAGGACCAGGGGCATGAAGAGGATGCGGGTGTGGGGGGTGGGCCCAAGGCTTCCCCATCCCTCTCTTATCCTGTCCCCACCCCCACCCCGCTCACCATGAGCACCCCCAGCATCATGTCATAGTTGTTGATGAGGAAGATCAGCTGCTCCTTGCGGGAGGAGAACTCGGCCGCCACTCGCAGGACGAAGTTCTCCACCTCGGTCTGGGTGGCGGAGAAGAGGAGAAAGGCAAGAGGCAGCAAAAGGGTGAGGAGGGGGGGCGGGAACTCCAAGACACCCTAGACTCAATCCCCCCATCCCCACCCCCC